GCCGTTTCGCCTTACTGGCGTTTGCTCCCCCTTCCAGGAGGGCCAGCGGCGGTTCGCGCTCTCGTCTAATCACTGCCTCGGCTTGCGGCCTTTTCATCGCCGTCCCCTACCGCCTCCACTCCTCACCCTCGTCTCCTCTTTCCTGGGCTGCGGAGGGATGGAGCCGAGGCCCCTGCCGTCCTGGCTGCCCCCGCCCCCCCGTTGCTGCTCTCTCGCTCTGTGTGGCTGCCCCGTTCAGGGTGGGGAGAGGACCGCAGCGGTGTCGGCCGAGCGGGGGAGTCGCGGCGGGGGGGCTCCAGGCACGACGGGGTCACCCTGAGACTGAGGCTTTTTTTTTTTATTTTTTGCTTGCTGCTTTTTGAGCGAGGTTCTTGGGCTGGGTCTTGGAGTGACGGGGAAATAAATACGAATGCTTTAACTCATATATCGCAAAATATTTCAAGTCCCAGTGGCTGTGGCCTTAACATCCTTCCTGTGTGAGAAACAGCTTTACAAATCCATGCAGTTTCACAGCTGAGGTGAAGGACAGAAATCCTCTGACTTCCCTCTGAGCATCGGGGAAGCTTGCAATGGAGATTTCCTACTTTTGTGCCTTACCTACAAGTATGACGTTGAGGTGCTGGAGCGTGTCCAGAGAAGGGCAACGAGGCTGGTGAGGGGTCTGGAGAACAAGTCTTATGAGGAGGGGCTGAGGGAACTGGGGTTGTTTAGCCTGGAGAAAAGGAGGCTGAGGGGAGACCTCATCGCTCTCTACAACTCCCTGAAAGGAGGTTGTAGCGAGGTGGGTGTCGGTCTCTTCTCCCAAGTAACTAGTGATAGGACGAGAGGAAATGGCCTCAAGTTGCGGCAGGGGAGGTTTAGATTGGACATGAGGAAAAATGTCTTTACTGACAGAGTGGTTAAACATTGGAAGAGGCTGCCCAGGGAAGTGGGTGAGTCCCCCTCCCCGGAGGGATTTTAAAGACGTGGAGATGAGGCACTTAGGGACATGGCTTAGTGGGTGGTGGTGTTGGGTTGATGGTTGGACTCGATGATCTTAGAGGTCTTTTCCAACCTCAATGATTCTATGATTCTATATAAAGGTGTATTTTTTCCCTTAAAAATAAGAAACTATTATCCTAAGTTTGAATTTTGAGGGAGACAAAAAACTAAAACAGTGACATTTTATAATTGATGGGTTTGCAGACCTTTTTGTAAGGAGGGAAGTTGAAGGCAGGGGATGCTGTCAAGAGCAGTGAAAATGCTCAGGTTTGGTACGCTCATGATTTTTTTAACTGGTAGAGCTGCTTTGATGAGACAGTGACTCGTTTGATTAGTTCTGAAAGGATTAATATTTTGGTATAGTTATTTCTGTGTTTCTAAGAGAATACCTTTAGTCTTATAGAGTGACTGTTTAGTCATAGCTGCTACCATTTAAGGAGCTTGTATTTGTAGCATATAGTGAATTTTCTTTCAGATGGATGTCCATGGCAGGATAAGAGAAGTTCTTGCTGAGACTATACGTGAAGAGTTAGCCCCTGAGCATCAGCAGTTATCCACAGAAGATCTGATAAAAGCCTTAAGACAACGAGGAATCATTGATGATGTTATGAAGGAACTTAAATTTGTAACTGTAAGTAGCTTTTGAAGAGTGAAAATACTTTTGCTTATTCCTCTTACTGACTTAGTGAGTTTTCACTTTGTCAAAACACCACTTCTAAAGGTTTGTAATGGCTTTACTGATTTGTGACATATTAGGAGCAGAATAGCTTAATGTATATGCTAAAATTGGTTTAATGATAATACTACATTGAAAGTATTTGTTCAGTTTTGTTACATCTCAAGTACTAGAAGGGAGCATACCTGAGGAATGGCATTCAGCTGAAATGGAGGATTCTTTAATTTTTAGAAGACTGCAGTAGGAGCACTGTTGCATCCCTTGACACCTTAAAAAGTCTTAATTGTAATTCCAGGATGTGAATGAAAAGGAGAGGACTTCAGCTCCAAAACCATCAACACATTTTGTTGACAGAGAACCACCAGTTCTGCAAAAAAGTATGTTGCTTGTTTATTTTAATATTTGGATCATAGTTTTGAGAGAAATTTTAAGTCTATGATTTTTGAACTCTGAATTAGTAATCCAGTATGAACTGGCATAAAGGTGGATGTTTTTCCTGCTTATTTACAGGAAGTAAATTCATGTAAGCAGCAGAAATTAGTGTCGCATAAAATGTGACTTTTTCTTAAATTTCATTTATTTTACATTAAGATAACTTCCGTACATTTTAAAATCACTTTCTCCTAAGCACTTGTTTCAAAAAATTTCTTTTTTTCTAGTCTCCTGTTAGTTAACTGATACTTAACATGCTTCCTAAGATTGGTTTGTAGTCTCTTCATTTTTATTGCTACGCTTTACAGCTAACATTGACCCAACACGGAGGTATCTTTACCTTCAGGTTTTGGGTGGAAAAGCTTTTCTGGAACATCTTCAGGAACCGGAGCCTCTGCCTGGCCAAATCTGTTCTACCTTCACTCTGTGTTTACATTTTCGAAATCAGCGCTTCCGTTCTAAACCTGTCCCCTGTGCCTGTGAGCCAGATTTTCATGATGGTTTTTTACTTGAAGTACACAAGGATAGCCTAGGTAAGGAGTATTGTGGGTTTAAAGCTGATGCTATCGGGTTTTTTTCTGACTTCAGAGTTATGATGAAATATGTTTGATATTATTTAGTGGCTTTCTTTCCTATTTTTTATCACTTTTTCCTAAAGAAACAGATTACTGTATTAGGTTATGCCACTTGTAGATCTTTCTCTACTCTTGTCTCTTCTTTTCCTTCTTTTCCACTCTAAAATAACTTTGGAATTTGACCAACTTTATCCATAATTGATAGTGAGATGGTAGTCTCAGAGGTGGTAAGAGATACTAAGGTGGCTGTGATTTTCATGAACTTTGTGCTGACAAGTGAAGAAGGGAAATGTAAATTTGTTGTCATATGGAAGGAAAAACTTCAGTGTGAGTTCAGTTTGCCTACCAGCTGGCAAACACTTGCAGAAGAGTCAGTCATCCACAGCCTATATTACTGTTGTTCTGTTGGTAGCCAGGGAACATGGTAGGAGCTAAGTATGTTATGACAAGACTTTCTGGATACTGTATGAATCCTGTAGAAATCCAGCTTATGGAATATCAGGGAACAGAGAGGAAGCCAGAGTTATTGCAGTTGGACTTGGGGAAGGGAGTGAACATACCACAAATTCAAAGAAAAACAGACTTTGTTAATTCTGCTGCTCATGGAGCGGTTTATATTACAGGGTCAAGCTTAACTACAGGGAAAGTTGTTTCCTAAATACTGAAGTATAGTAAGTTGACCTGACGCATTCCAACTTATTAAAAGAATATTTTTCAATTGCTTTTACTTAATGGTGCTTTAATATTCTTTATTTTCTTAAATGCTAATTCCATTTTAATTTTTGTGCAGTTGAACCAGTTGCATTGGAGTACTCGACTATAGGAATCTTTTTATCTTCTCTGTAAATTAACTGTAATCTTTCTGTAGCTCTGTCCTAAACTGAGTTTGATTTTAAGATGGGATCATTGCTTACACTTCTGGACGTGAGATTTTTCTTAAAATGCAATGTATGCAATGAATGTAGATGCATACTTTTTTTAATTTTGAGGAGGACTTGGGATGATAATATTCTTGCTATCTTATCTTGGTTTAATAATGGCAGGTGATGGAAGTAAAATGGTGGATGCAACCACTATGTTATCTATATGTGATCCAGTGCATATGGTTCTGATCAAAACAGACACATTTGGTGAGACAACACTAGTAGCATCCTATTTCTTGGAGTGGCGATCTGTCTTGGCTGCAGAGAATGGCATAACAAATGTTGCTGTTGAACTCCTGGGTGTAGGTAAGGATAAATAATAGGGCTGTAACGATGACTTAAAATATTGGGTACTGAGCTTGCTTATGAGCTTAAAGCAGTATTTATGATGTAGTTTAATTTTAGTTCAACTCATAAATTACTATAAGGTATCCTTAGAAAATGTGTAGGAGACTAATGGTCAGGTTTTTGTGTTACCAAAATACTAAAAATGTGTATTCTAGATCCTGTGTAATAATGGTCCCCATGTCTGGGAACTCTCACTACTGATTTTCTGCAAAATCTGGATAAGTTATTAAAACCAAACCAAACAAAAATCAACTAATTCATCTCCAGGAATATATCGGACCAGTGCACTGAAGAGTAAAACCTAGCTTGTGTCCCTTTCATAGCAAACTAGCAACTGCTGGAGAAAGTGATCTCTGCTGTGCTGCCATTTATTCCAGTAGCTGGAAGCATGCTTTCTGGCAGAAGGGCTGAACAGCTTTGTTTAGGTGCTTAGCAGTTAGTATACCTCTGTATTTTTGTGTATCGCTTGTCCCCACTCCCCTTTTCAGGAGTTCCAACCTAAGTTTTTAGGACATTATGATTTAG